ATAAACACCAATAGCTTATCCTAAAATAGAATTATATTAACATTAAAAATTGATACGAGTAATTTACATATTTACATAACAAATACTTTGATGTTATAATGAAAATGAAAGTATTATACCAAAAAACCTAAATTCTTCGTAATTGATTTTACATACGATTTCTTTGGAAGTATTTGGAATCTTCTAAATGTTTGTTGGGCACTCAACACATATTTTTTATGTAAAATTGAACCAAAAGGAACAATGACCTTCCGTTTGGTTTTGTTTTTATGTAAAAATCAAACAAAAAAACCAAAGCTAACAGTACATATTGTTATTGTTTCATCAAGTTAGTTTTTTTACTATTTTTTAATGCTTATAAATTTCTACTTTTATAAACTGAAAAAACCGAAAAAAACCGAAATAAAAACCGTATAAAACCGAACCGAATAACCAATGGTTTACATATTTTTTATGCAAAACCGAACCGAACCAAACCGCCAATTTACTTTCCGTTTTGTCTGTTTTGGGTGAAAACCGAACCGCCAATTGAGTACTCGTCGCCATCTCTCCAATCTTCGATAATCATCGTCGTCTCCCCATCTTCAATTATCATCGTCATCTCCCCCATCTCTGGTAATCGATTCCATCTTAAATGTTTTTACGCTAGTAAATATCCCCCCGTCAAGCCCCCACTGCACCAACCAACACATGGTTTGTTTTAGGAACATATTCACTATACGAATCAATCCAAAGATTTGGTTTTCTGGTTCGCTGAAAGTATTGCTCTTTATATTGTTCTTATTCTTCAAATTAGGGATTGCTTTTGAACTAGGGTTTGATTTTGATTTTGTTGGATCTAGAGATTTTAATTTTCTACGTGTATAGTTTATGTTTTAGGTTTTAAGTTTATGTATTTAGATATCGTTTCTAGGGATTTCTGCTCAGCTATATATGCTGCATTTTATTGCCCTGAGATTGATTTGGTTGTTTTGTTTCCTGAGTTTTTTGAAGCTGGAGAGGGGTTTGTACCTTATACACCAGCTCCACTTAGTCTCAGTATGTGACCTCTTAGGGATGGTAATTGTTGCTAACAACGGAAAAATATCATCTTTTGAATATGGCCCCCTCTGTTTTATTAACAGTATCAGTGGAGAAGTGGATTCGACTGTAGCTCCAAATGGACCGTGTCATCAAGAAACTAGACATGGTGGTTGTTTTGAATCATATACCTATAAGGATTTAGATTACACATATGTGGAAGGCTAGTTGCTATGGCAAGTACGGTTCGACCAAACTGTAATACTGATCAGTCAAAAATGAGGATACTTAGGATGTCGTATATGTTTCTCATATTCCCCTTGAACATGCAACATGTAGCCAAAGGCTGCCCAGGAACCCGTTAGGAACAATAAATGGATGGGAGACGGGTCCCGAAGAAGGATCATGTAATGTCTATTACGATAATGGTGTACAAACTCATGTGATTATGAAGCCTAGGACATTGTTGGTTAGCTTAATTATGATTTCTGTTTTTCTAATTTGCAGAGGCTGTGTAGTATAACATAACTTTATATCAGGTGAAACACATCCATTGGTACCATATAGGAGGAAGTGTCTGTTCGCAAATGCATATGTAGTAGAGATTGCTTGCCTCCCAGCAAGTAAAACAATAAAATATCCCTTTTAAATCGTAACTGCTCATACAGTATTTGATATATTTTTCCAAGTAGTGACTGGAACTATGCCCATTAACTTTAGTTGATTATGCTCATTTAGCGAAACTTCTTTTTGGTGAATGCATCACCTTATGTAGATAGAACAGAAAGCTAAAAGGGTGGTAATTTTAAATTTTGCATTCAGAGTTTGGTGCATATTTTCAAGACATTGAACATGTTTTAAAAGGCTCAAAAGCTTGCTGTAGAAAAGGAAACCACATTTAAACCTTATGTTCCCAAAGGTATTATTGCCTTTCTAAAACACTTTTTTTGTATATATCTCTAAGACTGACACTTTGATTATATTCTTCAAGCAAGGGGTGTAGTTTATCGGCAATGAGATTGCCTTTAACACGACTATCATAGAGGAATGGTTTACATCTGTTACCCAATTTCTCCCTGTGGTTTTTAAAACAATTATTCCTCTGGATTAAAAAAAGTCATGCTTATGTTTGTCTGCTTGCAAGACTTGGGTTTAAATTAAATGGTTTTCACAAACATGCACTTGGTGGGAAAGAGAGAAAGTGTCATAAAGCCTTTAGTTTGAATGTCAAAATGTTAATATTAGGAATTATAATATGGTTGTTACGCATGTGTCTATTGTAAAAGAGTACATGAAATTGCAGTTCTTAGATTTGACATATTCAACTTTATCGTTATAAAGTACATATATTTAAAAACATTCTATTCAATTTATGGTAGCGATTATTGTGTGTGTATATTCATCTAAGGTTTTTTTTTTGCTATTTTATTTGATGTTGCAGGTGGATGAAGTTATAGCGATTATTGTGTGTGTACATTCCAGTGATTTTGCATCAGTTTCCTTTACCAGCCTTGTTTGCTGCATCAGTGATTATATTTGGCTGCTGCTTTGACTAGGACATTGGTTAATATGTTGGTGATTGCTGCTGGTTAAAGAAGATGAATTGACATTTATGTTCATATTTTACAAACATTGTTTTCTATTTTGAGTTTGGGCTTTACATTTTTAGTTTAGGTAAACAGTGGGTTTTCTATTTTTTGTTGGATGGGTTGGTAATGCTCTTGTTACAATGGTATTGTTGTTGAATTGGACAAGAAAGGTAGTTCTTTTTTATGAATTATTTATAAATAACTTTTTGTAGCATGGATATGTGATACTATTGAATTGATGGTTTTAAATAATATTTTTTTTTAAAAAAGATATGGACTTTACATAGCAGATAAATGTGCAATATGTGCACTTTATTACCATGTTTTCACAGCGGATGCATATCTGCTTGGTATTATGTGAACTTTTTAGCCATGCTTTCACAGTGGATAAATATCCGATGTGTAAATTGACTACTCTTACAGAGCGGATTTTTATCCGTTGTGTAAAGATAGGAGCTTTCCCATCGGCTACATAGATAGCGGGTGATATCCGCTGGGAAAGGCTAATTTTATCCGCTGTGTATTCCATACTTTGTAGTAGTGTAGTCATCTAACTCCAGGCTTAAGTATTCACCTCCTCGATCCGAGCGGAGGGTCTTAATACTTTTGCCTAATTGTTTTTCTACTTCGTTCTTGAATTCTTTGAATTTGTCAAAGCATTCCGATTTTTGTTTCATGAGATACACATATCCATATCTACTAAGGTCGTCAGTAAATGTAACGAAGTAAGAATAACCACCTCTAGCTACAGTGCTAATTGGACCACAGACATCGGAGTGTATGAGGCCCAATAAGTCACTCGCCCTTTCACCGTGACCGGTGAATGGAGCCTTTGTCATTTTACCAAGTAAACAAGATTTACATACATCATATGACTGGAAGTCAAATGAATCAAGTACACC